AAATGCCGCTGACCAAGTCAAGATTAGGCTGCGGGCTCCTCCTGTCACCCTCATTAAAACTACCAGTAATTGGCAGGGGAAAGAAAACTTTCATTCTCCACATAAGATACCACTCCATTCTAGGTTGACTTAAAAATTTCCCCATTGCAGTCCAACTCTCATAAGCAAGCACCTCCCGAAAGCGACCACCAAGCCTTTGGATTTTGGTGTTCAACTGTAGTTGGATAAACGGATTTTTTGCAGAAGAGTACTAAAGGGCTGAAAATGTACCAAGTCAATATATTTAAGCAATAGAAAACATTCATGTTTGCATAGCCAGATATAAACACGAGAGAGGTTGGGAGAATTCAAGACAGTTATGCAAACCCTCGACTTTGTCTCGGGTTTGCATAACTGTCGAGAATTCTCCCAACGCCCCAAGTGTTTATATCAGGCTATGCAAACACAGGAAAAAAGCTTTCTATTGCTTTTATAAAATAAATTTCCAGAGAGAAAATGCAAAACTCTTTGTATTGCACTAATTAAAAGAGGAATTCTTACCAGTCGCAAAGTCTTGTCCACGAAGTCTTGCACACGTAATCAGTTCTTGTTTTGCAAAAAGATGCTTTCCAAAATATGGACTTTTCTCGCTTAAAATGTCAGCTTAAGTGAAAAAAGAGTGACACACTTCCTTTGTAACGATTTTCCAAGTTTCAGCCGACGAAGGAATGGGTAAATAAAGTAAACTTGTCGAGTTTTAAACTTGAAAACTTTTACATATTTGTGCTTGGGTGATTAGCGCGCAAAAAGCAAAACATCTTGACTCCACAACCATGTTTACATACTCTCATGCAAACACTCCTCTCAGCCAATGAGAGTGTGTGTACGATCTTAGTTATTTTATAAACACTATTGTGTCATTCTTTTGTGTGAAGTTTATTGTGTTACTGTGTAAGGGCTGCAGATCATTGTTGTGTTCTTTGTGATGTAACTCGAGGCTTGCTGTCCACCTGGGCTCGGTTCCTGGAACGCCGATTAGCGTTAATCCAAGATTAAAATTTTGTTCTGTTTTTGTATTTTACATTCCTATCCATTGCTTGGGGCAACATTATGTCACAATTACTGTATCTCGTAGTTAAGGCTCAACAGTATTTTGTAACCTCGAGTTGCATGTTCTTCGACAAGAAAACCGTGCTTGACATTTGGCTTAATCCTAGGTTAAACTTAACCATCTAATTTCTTTCCAGGAACCGGGCCCTATTATATGGTGCATGATCACTGATCAGTATGAAAATACGCCAAAGAAAAAGAAACAGCTGGACGAGCTGCATATAAGCTACCAAATCGACCACTATCAAGTAAATTTTACTCATATTTGTTTTTTTATATATTGCCCTTTAACTGTAGCTATTTTCATTACATATTCACAGAATTCAAACCTACCATTCATCATTTCATCATCTCGAGCTCCTCGTGGTAGCAAGAATGGCGCCACACCAACACGGTTCAGCCTAGGGATTCAGCCGTGCGGGAGCAACAAGGTCCCGTGAGAAATTACCAGTAGACTATAAGTGTTCATTAGGACCCAATAGCCATAAGACGTTTTGGTGGCACCTTTGCAACTTGCTGGGATCGAATTATGAGGCTCCGAAATATTCTGACAACAACAACAGCTGAAAGAAGTCCAGCCCGGGTACGTTCAGAGCGTCACGTGATGGAAAAACAGTCGAAGATGCGTCACAGGGTAACCAGGCTCAAACAGCCATAATTCATGAAGAGTTGTTTTTGTGTTGTTTTCTTACTTTTTCCAGCCCTATAAACGCCATTTCAGCATGATGCAATTGTAAGATGCTTTGGTTTTTTACCCCCTTAGAAGAAGTCAAAAGAAAACTCGACTGTCCTAGGCTGCCTGTAGAAAAAGGCTCCAAAAAATATCTTCATTCCACTCCAATCGCTCCAAAATTTAGCTTGAGCATAGACCGAAGATTTTCCATCTTTGGAAACGTCAATTTTGTTCAAAACATCTCAAGCTAAGTTTTGGAGCGACTGGAATAGAATGAAGAAGATACACCATAAACCCTCTATAAAACCCACCTTGGGGCGTATTTATTTCAAACACGTTTGAGAAGAGGCTTAATGGAGGCGGGGGTTTACTTGAGAGTTGGGTAAGCGAAGATATTGGTATCAGTTCTCCATAAAAAACTAGAATACAAAGAGGAAAGGCTCAATTACAAGATAATAAGGGGAAGGGGTGGGGGGGGCTTAAAAAGAGAAGGGGGGTTATTAACTTTCTTCTCCAAAAAACAGGGGCTTATTAGAGAGTGGGGCTTATTTGAAGGAGCGTGCGTAATGGCGGATTAACGGTAGTTTTTGGTAGCCTGCATTGCACTTAAGGAGAGTGAAGGCAGGCACGAAGCGAGCGAGTAGCGCCAGACACGCGCGACGGGACGTGCTTGCCTTCGCTCGAAAACTAAGGAACGCCTGTCATACATGCAGACTAAATTTTTGGAGCTTTTTCTTC